ATTTTTTGTTTGAGTAAACTTTGTATTAGGTGGTGCGGATAGTTGTTGTTAGTGAGAATTCTGTTTATTCTGTTAATGTTTGTGTCTCTAAATTGTGCGTGGCTTATTGTTAGTATTTTATGGACTAGCTTTTTTGCGGTGTTCACTTTATATTTTAAGGGTTGCGAAGACATGAAATTAATTATGCGACCGGATCTGGGTTTCGAATACCAGTCAAGTAGTATGGAGTCGTTTTTCTTATGAATCATGACGTCTAGGAATGGGATGCGGGAATTCGTTTCTGATTCCATTAGTGAATTGTAGCTTAGGATGGTATTCGTTGAATGTTTTTAAAATTATATCCACGTCGTTTCTTCTTACAATAGCAAAAATGTCGTCCACATATTTAACCATAAATTTAATGTCAATGTTAAGGTGTTTCTTTAGCTCCATCACGGTATTGTCCAATAAATTGTCCATAACTATGTCTGCAATCGTTGGCGTCCGCTACTTTTGTTCAGCAACATTTCTTGGGTTGCCATCATCGACATCCCCACCCCCGTGAACTGACCCGGTTGGGGAGGCTTCACCACCGTCTGCATTCGCCTCGACATCAAGAACTGCCAATTTCGAAACAGGCCTACGATAAGTACCGCTGCTTGTAGCGATGTGAGCGGACCGAGCAACGCCGTCTTGGCCGTAGTGTAGTTCCAAGACTCTTCCTCTCTTCCACTGCGACCTTGGAGTTTCAGCTTCACAGATTAAAACCAGGCACCCTGGCTGGAGTGGCTTTACTGGCAAACACCATTTTGTCCGTCGTGTTAAGTCGGGCAAATATTCCCGTATCCACCGTTGCCACATGCCATTCTTGAGATTCTGGACCACTCGCCACTGCTTGCGTAGACACATCAGACGTGGCTCGAAAGGAGCAGGCGTCTGCGTCGAGTTGGGACATCCAAGCAAAAAGTGGTTAGGAGTCAGTGGCTCCGGTTCCTCTGGTGTTACAGGTAGGCGTGTCAAGGGCCTGGCGTTGATCATGTTCTCAGCCTCAATTAGAAAACTCTGCAACGTTTCGAGGCGTGGTGATTGTTCGCGCAACATCATCCGTAGCGCTGTCTTCACGGATTGGACCAGCCTTTCCCATGCACCACCTTCGCTTGGATTTGCTGGCGTATTAAAATTCCAACGGATGCCCAACGAGGTCAAGCCTGAAATCCAAGAAGAATTGTCCAAAAACGAACACTCACCCTTAAGCTCTTTCTCAATGCCCACACAGTTGGTGCCATTGTCACTCCTTATCAACACGGGCACTCCTCTTCTATTCATGAAGTTCCTTAGGCATACCAGGCACGCATCGCTCGATAGGTCAGTCGCCACTTCGAGATGGATAGCACGCACAGTGAGGCAAGTAAATAGTGCGACCCACCTCTTCTCTCGTTGCCGTCGAATGGTGACGTTAATTGGCCCGAAGAAATCTAGTCCGGTATAAGAAAAGGGCCTGATGTAAGGTGTTAACAGATCCGCTGGTAAATTGCCCATCTGCGGCTGTTGAGGCTTGGCACGTCTAAAGCGACACGCTTGGCATCGTGACTGTATACTATTTAATAGTCTTCGGAGCGCAGGAATCCAAAACCTTTGCCGGATTTCACTCATCACTGTTGCAACGTTGATGTGCAGGAATTTTGCATGATAATTTTCAGCAAGCAAGCGCGTGGCCCGATGCGTAGTCGGCAACAGTATTGGTTGTCTGGCTTCGATTGATAGGCACGTAGCCCCGGTAATCCTTCCGCCTACTCGCAGCAGACCATCCGGGCCGATGAAAGGACTCAGCATCTTTACCGTACTGCTTGCCGAAACTGTTTCCTTTTGCCTTATGTCAGCAAGTTCATCTGCAAATGCATCTTCTTGCAAAAATCTGCAGAGACGTATTTCCGCCTGGCGCTCTTCATCAGTGGTCAGCTCACCATTTAGCAACGGTTTGTTTTGAGTGCTTCTCAGTAAGTTATGAACAAAACGATATATCCAAGCCACAGTCCGCTTTAGCCCTGAATAATTTGAAAATCGATTACAATTCGGGATTATGCTACAAACCTGCCGCGCGATCAACATTGTGTGCTTGCTGCGTAGCTCTTCCCCGCTGCTATCCTTAACGTTGACTATTAATGATTCATTGGGCCATGAACTTTCATCTTCTAGTAAAAAATCTGGACCATTTTTCCATCGTCCGTCTACCATATATTTCGCTGGGAACCTTGCGCGAGTTGCTTCATCGGCTGGGTTCAGAGTACCCGGACACCATCGCCAGTCTGCAATGTTGCTGTTCTCCAAAATTTCTGCCACTCTGTTGCCTACATACTGCTTGTATCGTCGATGATCCGCTCTTATCCATCGTATAACCGTGTGCGAATCGGCCCAAAAATAAAAACTATTGATCACTTTGCTATGACTTTGTAAAATGGTTTCTTTTAACCGCGATGCCATGACCGCAGCTTGCAGCTCAAGCTTCGGAACGGTATGATAGCGCGTAGGAGTGCAACTTGATTTCGCCATAACAAAGCTGAGTGTGACCTTACCATCATTTACCATTCGCCAGTAAGCAANACTGAGTGTGACCTTACCGTCAATTACCATTCGCCAGTACGCAACAGCCGCCATCGCCTCTTCACTTGCATCCGAGAAAATATGCAAATCCACGGGGATGCTTTCAAAGTTATGCAGATAACAACGCTGAATCTGGAATTGCTCCAACTTTGGCAACTCGTGCATCCACATCTTCCACTTCAAATAAAGTCGATCAGGTAGCGGGTGGTCCCATTCCACGCCAGCTTTCCACACCTCCTGCATCAACACTTTTGAGCTAATCATAAAATTGCACAGGAAATCAACGGGTCGAAAATCGNCTGGTCCCATTCCACGCCAGCTTTCCACACCTCCTGCATCAACACTTTTGAGCTAATCATAAAATTGCACAGGAAACCAAACGGGTCGAAAATCGGCATATTTAGGCTTAGCATCTCTCTTTTAGTCGGTTTTCTAGCACACATAATTATTTCCTCTGGCACTTTATTTAATTTCAAAATGTAAATAAAAACATCAGTTTTTGACAGCCAGTGCATTCCTAATATTCTCTCTGTCAATGCATACCTTGCAGTCGTTGCTGGCGGCGATGCCACATGCTACTTTTAATTTTTCGGAGTTAGAGATGATATTGCGCAGCTCGAATTCCCCTTTGCGATGAATGNCTCTCTGTCAATGCATACCTTGCAGTCGTTGCTGGCGGCGATGCCACATGCTACTTTTAATTTTTCGGAGTTAGAGATGATATTGCGCAGCTCGAATAACTTGCGGCACCACGATAAGAGCTTCTTGTTCCGATTGGAAACAATCAACGTAGTCATCCACGTAGTGTCTTTCGATAATGGCGTGCACGGCGCGAGGACATTCTGTAACAAAGTTCTTCGCGTTGACATTTTTGACGTATTGTAGGCGAACATATAGACCCAAAGATCATTCGCTCCATCCTAAAGGTTTCCACCTGTTTAGATGGATCTCCGTCCCTCCAGAGAAATCGCTGACTGTCCCTGTCTTCTGCGGTAATTATAATTTGGTGGAACATCTCCTTAATGTCTCCGCAGACTGCGATTGGAGCTTGCCTAAATTTTAATAGTATAGAAATTAATGAGTTGTTGATATCTGGTCCTGAGAGCAGAGCTTTGTTCAATGACATATTTTGAACTTCTGCTGCTGCGTCGAAAACGAGGCGTATTCCCTTTTTATTTGGATTCCTAACCCCAAAATGTGGTAAATAAAAGGTTTTATTAGTTACTTGCGAAGCTTCGGCAGATGATAATTTCCTCGGATAGCCTTTTTTCAAATAGTCACTGATTTTGGCGCGATACTCGGTGGCGAAGACTTCGTCCTTGGACATTTTCCTCTCAACATTCTTTAATCGATTTAGAGCCATATGGTAACTATTAGGAAACGGGGGCACGTCCTCCCGCCACAAAAGGCCAGTCTCATAACGACCGCCAACTCGTTTCGTTTTTGCTTCCAAAATAGACAGTGCGCGCTCATCAGCTTTGGGTATCAATTTCTTAGCATCTGCCTTGATGCCAAAGGACTCTACGTCGAAGTAACTTTGCATCATCGCATGTAGTTTGTATGTGGGGTCTTCGCTCTCGGGAAACGTTCTATAATGCAGTGCGCGAAATGAATGCGATGACGGCATTTCATTAGTTGAACCGTAAATCATCCATCCTAACCTTGGCTGCGATTGGTCCGGCTTCACAAGGCTGCAGTGGAGTTTCCATTGGCACCGTCTGGAAAGCACGATTAAGACTTAAAATTACCTCTGGCTTAACATCTGTGTAGTTTGGAATTTGTACACCCAAAAGATGTGAATTCTTACCCGATTTAGTTAACTCACCAATATGGCAACTCTCAATTGGTAATGATAAATTTGTCGATGTGAAAACGTTTGACAACTCGTACTTTTCGGAGTCGATTTCACTCGCTCCGTTTTTTGCGTATTTCTTTGTTCGTTCAACCACTGCAGCTCCAATATTTCTGCTTTGCCACGAATTCCAAGTTTTAAGGCAAGATCGCGGTCAATCATCGATACATTTGCTCCATCATCGACGAATGCGTACGTGGATATAACATTATCTCGCCCATACAATTTGACTGGCAAAATTTGAAAGAGCACTTTATCGGAGCTGCAGTCGGCAAGGCAATTTCGGTGTTCGGTCTGTTGCGGTGTAGTCGGATCTGCCACAATTGAGACGGGTGATGGNGTTCGTTCAACCACTGCAGCTCCAATATTTCTGCTTTGCCACGAATTCCAAGTTTTAAGGCAAGATCGCGGTCAATCATCGATACATTTGCTCCATCATCGACGAATGCGTACGTGGATATAACATTATCTCGCCCATACAATTTGACTGGCAAAATTTGAAAGAGCACTTTATCGGAGCTGCAGTCGGCAAGGCAATTTCGGTGTTCGGTCTGTTGCGGTGTAGTCGGATTTGCCACAATTGAGACGGGTGATGAGTTCACCCTTGATTCGCGTCGTCCGGAAGACGCATCAGCAAAATCTGCGTGGAGCAATTGATGGTGTACTCTTTGACACTCGTTTGTTCTACAATGCTTACGGGAAAGGCATTGCTGCACGCGATGACCTTTTTTGAGCCACGAGAAACAGAGTTTTAAGGCTTTAAATTTTTTCCACCGATCCTCACTGGTCATCTGCAAAAAAGATTGGCAATTACTCAAGGTTTTGCAATTGCCTTTGCAATTGAGACAATTTTCTTGCACAACACTGGCGCATGCGTAGCGGCGGTTATTAGGTGAGTCATTATTTCTGATTTGCTGTTGTCTGCGCACTACAGGATTATGTGGCAGTGTGTCAGTTACCATGTTAGCCAGACGACGTAGTGTGCATAGCCAGTTGCTGAAGTCTACAATTGTTGGAGGTCGCTCCAATTGCAAACACTTTTCTGCCCACATCATTTGTCGTGCTGTTGGTAGTTTTGCTACTAATTCGCTTATTAGTGTTGGGTTAGACAAGTGATGAAAACCATCCACGTTTTGCAAAAACGTCGCCATGTTTGTCATCTTGTTGGCGAAGTTGACGAGCGACTCGAGGTGGCCGTCTACTAACAGCGGGATGGATCGAACTTTCTCGATTTGGCTTTTAATCAATTGCTCTGGTCTTCCAAAGGCTTCGCGCAATATCTCGATGATCGTAGTAACATTGGAAGAGTTTCCCAAGAGCGACACTACCGTTTCTCTTGCTCGACCTTGCAATGCGTCGCGCAAGCGCATTATATTATGTAGGTTAGAATAATCAAATTCGGCGGTTGTGCTCTCGAATGCCTCTATAAACGTCTGCCAGTCTTCCGGCGAACCTGAAAATATAGGAAGTGGGTATATTTTCCTAGCACGTACCATATTATTCTGGCTTTCATATTTGAAGTGTGGTAGTACGCGCTGGGGCTGTGCGTGAGTCTGTGCCATATACGGTGGCGCCGATTCAGACTGCGACGTTGGTAGCGAACCTTGCATAAACGATGGTGCTGACTGCGGCGCGGTGAGCGGTAGCTGAGAGGTTGAAAACGTAGATGGAGTGGGACCTAGAGGTGTCGGTGACGGCTGTACTATTGGCGGAGCAAGCGGCAGGGAGGCTTGCGACTGCGGCGGCATTGACTGAAGTGCAGTTGGCTCTCGCGGCAACATATCCGATGACGGCGGTTGTGCCGGCTTCGAA